TGGTACAGTGATCTCCAAATAAAGGCCTCCAATAGGACCCGGTGAGAGCGTTACTTTGTAATGAGAAAGTTCCCATTAGGAAGTTGACTTAGCTCTTGAGTTTATGTTTAACCCCAAGGCCTTCGCATCCTTCATCTGATTCTTGAAGAAATATGCTGCATCTCTCTATGTTCCAGTTGTCATCACATCACTTGATTTTATTGAAAAAGAGTTCTTTCACTGTGAATATACTAGGGAACACAAATGCTCATTTTCATCGAAATCACAGTGACTTAAGAAGGCAATGATCACTCTATTTACGACCTTAGAATCAGTCTGATTTTCATTATCATTCGCTATCTCGAGTTTGTTTGTGGTGTAGAAACAGTCTTTTCTCACTGAACTACCGTACAAAGAATATCCACTCTAATTTATCACGATCCCAAGTATTGCATTTGTCATTCTGATAATTTTTCACATTTGGATCATGCTGATAGCCGAGTTGTAGTTATGATCATAAAACGACACCTCGTAACTGATCAAAATATGGAGTTATTATCCCCGCCCTCTGACAATTAAGCATAATTGCTCTGTAGTAATGAAGTTCCTAGAAGAATTCAGAGGACTGGAACCCTACATGTATTACTGCGATCCCGTACTTTATCAGATTCCCATACATTGTTTTAACTCTGCGAATAGGCAAATGACACGACGTTATAGAACTAATGCGCCCATTGTCTTCATATTCCTCAAACCGGTAAATAAAAATATTAACGGCACTTAGGTTGTGTTATCTAGCGGGTGCTCGGTCCACGGCGAATTGCAACCATTGATCCACATGATCTACTTAATCTACGCTGGCCGTTGAAGAACTCCTATAGTTCCTGTGTTTTTCATGGACTTTTGTCCCCTCGCAGATTATACCTACATTTTGTTTCTGGAGAGCACAAATAGCGTAATTCCCGTGACATAATTACCTAAAGGGCTCCGTCATTGTGACCGACCCACCAATAGTTTTAATTGTTCCTGTAACTATGTAGAATCCCTGTACCAGTCACCCCAAAGCCCGTAGCCAAGGTTCATATCAGGATTCAAGGAAACATACAAATCATGGAAATACTCGTGTGGGGAAAGTGATTTCTCAGGCTCATTAACAAGAAATATGTGCTGTATGCAACCGGTGTAGCCAAAAATAGTGTTTAAATGTTTTATCTCGTAACGGGCAAAATTAGAGCAGTTGCCGTACAATGTAGTGTTCTTTATTTTGCCTTCGGGAAAACATGTACTGAATAGTAGTTATACAAAAGCAGCTAAACGTTTCCCAGTCCTTTTCAGGAGCATAGTTGGCTGAACGATGTCATAGATTCGATTTTATGGGGACGGGGCTCAATTCGTAGGTGGATCTGAGTAGCTATTATTGTCAGTCTATACAAAAAGTTGCTTTTGGATAGTTGGCGTTTATAGGTTGCCTCACCGACCGATACTTTACCATACGTGATGTAATTAGTGCTTTTGGTTTTTCTGAGCATGCTCTCGTTGTTATTCAACACGTCCAGATGTTTCATCGGAGCCTCAGGCGATTGGCATATAAACCCGCGTCTACTGTGCAAATTCTCGTGGTTCACTAGTGAAACGACATTCAACTTAGACGGTTTGCTGCAAAATTATACTACCCATGTTTTACTTAGAAAACCTAAGATATCATTGATGAAACTACTGCATTGAATAGCTAACCAAAGTAACTGGTGTAAGAGCAATACACTTTAGCGAATTCTCCCTGCCAGCATAAATCTAGTTGCCTGCCTCTGCATAGCATATGGGGTGGGGTTGTTAAAGGTACGTAAATACTACAGAATACGATTGAATTCAAAATCTTAACACCAATGGCTCCTAGAACTTCATCAAGTAGGCTCGGTTCTACCACAAAACTATGGTAAGTGTAGTGATGGAGAGAGTATGTCTCCAATTTCTCATGCTAAACTCCTGGGTATTTTTCTGGATTAATGAAAAGAAATTTCCAACACGTGCGCCCAAGTGAAAACGGACGCTTAATCTACCCCAACTTATCCACCAGATTTTGCACTCTTAGCCACATCTGAGATTGAGCATGATGATCGAAATTCCTGGCCCTTAAACAAGCCACATCTAGGGTAGAACAGGATTAGTCCAAAGTCACGTTGCCGCATACGAGTGACCGGGGAATTCGGTGCTGATTGGTTCGATGTTGAAGGTTTTTGATGACGCATCAAGTTTAAAGACCGAAACAGGGTTCCAATGAACAATGCCAGGATAATTGCTCTGCGGTGATCTTAATGACAAAAATTGTCCATTTACAATACAGGACAGTGACAAAGCGATGGTTGTATTTATAAAGAACCCCAATAACCTAACTGGTTACGTAGGGGCTCGACAGGCACCTGTTTAGGAAAACAGCAATTTCGAGCAAACAAGACCACCACTCCTATCTCAAAATGATTGGGCTCTTGCCTGTTGGACAGTTTGTTGGACAGTTGCGTATTACTACCAGCTTCAATTCAAAGAAATCTGTAATTTTCCTTAAATAAGGCCAGCTTATAGCCACTGTAATAGAACCTTTTGGTTTACACTCAGTAAACAACAAAATAATTACATATCACATTGGTAGAGTGATCCACACCAAGCTGAAGAGCAGCCGAGCTTCCCATGAGAAATCTGGTGTATTCGATATCACTTCACTCAGTACAGTTATTCTAGCACTGTGAACTTGACTGTGCCCCACCATCTCTCTTGATGAGTGTACCAAAGGTATTTCACGGTGCGCTAGGTTATCATGAACGGGATTTAAGATTTAACGAAGCATTTTGATAATGTCCTTTGGTGTCATCAGGTTTGAGTAGACAGTATGGAGCCAGGGAGTGTTATAATCAACGTTGGAATAAGAAGTCATTTTTTAAAATTTTATTACACTAGTCCAATGGTATCAACTGTTTGGCTCAACTTCTTTGAAACCGAAAATGGGCACGAAAGCGGAGAGACTATCAGGTTTCTAAAGACTGAATAGGCTACATCTAGTGGTCAGTAAGCATTCAAATAATGAGTTCAACTCGACTCTCTAGAAAACTTATCTTCAGGCTTAACACGGATTGTTTGCTGTGGTTGAAACTCACTTTCCCTTTGAATATATCACGACCGTAAGGTCGCATGATTTGTTTGTCTTTTAGCAACCCACCCCACCCTTTTAAAAGACCATAAATTGTAGTCATAAGGAATTTCGTAGGCATATATTCGCAATGTCTTCAAGTTGCCAATTATAGGTATTTCTATCTTACCGCATACGAGTAGCGAAAAATTTACAGACGTATTCTTGCCAAAATGCCCGTAATTGTGACCTAATTGCCTCCCGGAACATTAACGACAAAGTGGTTGAATAAACTGCTTTTAAAAAATGCAATTTGTACTTCGCTTATTGTTGAGGACAACTTCCCATGATAAGTTTTATGGGCGGTAACTAGATTCGAATCTGCGTACTAATGTTCAGTGTTGTGCATCATCATTTTGGCGTAGTAATTTTTGAACGTATTGTAAATTCTCACCATATAAGCAGAAGATATCTTCGTCAGTCGGGATGTACGCATTCTTGAAGAGCCGTTTTGATGATGTAAATTCTTTACTTCTTCTGTCCAAGTAAACTAGCGCTTTCGTGTGCTAATGTGAAACACTACTTGGAGCTCATTTTTAAGTCGACAGTGTAGATTCGCAGGCACTGATCGTTCGCGAACTCATGAGGTGTTTTTAGAACAACAAATATTTCTAGATTTCATGTTTTATAACAAAGACGAGCGAATTATTCATCATTACCATTGTGCGGCTTTGTCTGTTGTCGAAGCTGATTTAATATCGTCTACAGAATCGTTCTTGAGATAGTGTTGAGCTGAACATCAAATGACCGAATCTTACCTTTTGCGAAAATTCTACAAAATGAATTTCCCTCAAGCTACGTGTGCATTACGGTTTAGTGCGTTAAATAACGTCAGAAAAAACATTGCGTTCCTGATGGAGTCATGTGGTGTTGTTCCACTCACTACATTTCGTCTCATACAGGGCCGAAACCATCATCGTGTTTTGAAATTGTAAGTGACATGCCGGCGTGTAAATGCGCCTGGTTTGCCTTAGAAAGCAACCAATGGGATGATTTGGTTCACATCTGAAAGATGCAGGCCAGAATCCAAAAATGAAAAATCACAACCGAACTGGCTACATCCGCAATTGTCACGCAACGTCGTCTTTGGGTACTGGTGCGTGACAAAGACCATTTTGTGGGACAGATGGATAGCTATGGGCTCAACGGTCTGAACTATCCTTTTTCTACCTCCGGTACCAGCATCCCTCAGAAAATCCCTTTTTGATACAAAAAGGTTTATGTGACTACTTATGATGTAAAATAGTCTATTTCCTCAAAAATCACGGAAACAATCCTAAACTACGCATATTTCTGCTCGAGACAAGTTTACAGCCTAACAGGATATTCTGTACTCGATTACCTTCGATTAGAGGATAACGTGTATATTTCACATTCATGGTTTTCTCTCTAACGTCCGTTTGTGCGAGTAAGATATCATGTGCGAATTCCGTATTTGCAGCCACACGCTCTGTCTCCATGGTGCGAATGTAGCGCAAGATATCGGTTAGAGCATCCCACTGACAACACCCTATTAATTAACCTAGCCAACTTCAGGTGAGATATTTTAGTAGATCATAAAATGACTTGAGGTTCGGTGTCAGTAGTAAATGTGCGGGTTAGATCCAGGCCTAAGCTGTTTCTTGGAATTTGGCATTGGTTCTCCAGCTGGCTTTGCCTCTTCGGCACCGTTCGCTGCTACATCTATTCTCAATTAAAATTACGCATCTACATGAAAGAGCGGAAATGATTGTGATATTTTTTTCCGATTTTCATACATTTTTTGCAAAGATTCATTACCGTTATGTCCTGGTGTAGCCTGGTTCAATTTTCATTCTTTATCACCCACGGTGTTTGATTTTAGGCCTGTAAACACGCAGAAAACGATGGTAAATGTGTCAGTCAATGTCCGCCGCAGTTCATCGTCAATCGAGCAGACAGCCGGACTATACCTAACCCGGAATTCAAGTACAACTTTCATGATACGTGTGTGGAAACATGTCCAGGTGAGCTACCCGTAAAATTCACAAGACATCAGTCCGTAACTTCAAATGTGAAAATCGTTTTGTCCGAGTAAATATTTCAAGTACTGGGTTCCATTCTGTCGGTGATATTACACTTGATTTTCCTCTGTAAACGGCACATAATTTCGGAGCATTTGAAATGTCTACTAACCGCGTATATACGCACCTGTATCTACAAGCACATGGCTTTGTTTTCTTTGCTTTAAATGCAAAAGTTCGACCGATGGAAAAACTATGACTTGGTTGTGATGTATAAAGGCATTAGTGAATACCCAATAGCAGATATTTTACCAAGGCGGATTTAATAACAGTGACGAATGAATGAATGAGTGAATGAATAAATGAATGAACGAATGAATGAATGGATTGATGACAATCTGTGAGAGACACGTTTTCCTGTGTCTTGTTTATCCACTTCATAATGTGACTGACTGTTTCATCAAGCTGAGTAGGATAGTGAGCTGTATCAAGCTGTTGCTTGCAGTTGGTCCTACTCTGATGTTGCTAGCACTCAAAAGGGCAACATAATTCTGAGGAAATTAGCAATATCCTCTAGCTGTTCTAGATAAAAGTTTTGGTGTGTTACTGTAAATCACAGGAGCTGCCGGGAGGCACCAATACCGTAAGATAGTCAGATGACTTTGATGCCTTCCACTGTGTCGTGCTTAGATGCTTTAGTTCCTCGCTCGATTGTGTAAACTGCTTACCCAATTTTCCGGATTCACCTGGCTCTCGTTATCTTATGCGCGGCATCCCACTTTGCCAAGTAAAAATTACTTGCAATTTACTGACGACGCTCAAGAGTTCACTGTTCCAGCCACTGTCCACAACTGCGAACCCCTACTCTTCTGTGGAAGTGAACAATCTTCAGATGGATCTCTTCTGGGGGTATTTATGCATATATGTAAATGCAGATAAGCAACACTTAGGTTCAGTATCTGTGTTCAAGTTTTGCAAACATCAACTTTACTACAGATCGACTGGGATATGGGAACCTTAAAACGCTGACTTGGTTTATTCTGGAGTTTCTCAGGTTGTATGTGTTTTAGCTTCGGTCCTCGGGGTCCCATACTATGGTTGATAAAGGATACTTACAAGCCGTTCAAACGTGCTGTGATATTTGTACGAGCATCACGCAGCGCTCATCACTCTTCCTGCATCAATTAGCCAACTGTCCTCGAAAGAGAATACTTCTAGTCACTCCGGATGTTTATTAAGCACCGCATATAAGCCAAATAAGCCATGTGTGCATATTATCGACCCTCAAAAGACATAGATCTCGAAAACCATTTTGAACTTTGTCTGAACCCCATTGGTACTGTAGGTTTGTCCAAAATCCACTTTGAAGTCTAATGCAAAAGTTTGCAATCGAGGTTCTTTCAAGAAATGGCCAAAAGAAGTCCGGTTTACTAGTAAGCCAAGTGAAAAATCCGCAGTTCGCAAATTAACTCGAGATAACGCAACTGAAATCTTGATTGCGCCTCATATATATATACCTATACCAGATATATATGTATATATTATGAAGACAGAAAGAAATGTGACATGAGTTAGGTTCCAGGTGTTTTCTTTAACCTACTTCTTATTGCGTAACACTAGTATATTTGACATGACCTCTTCTTATGGTGGACTTGAGTACGTGCATAATAATTTTTCCACGTTCTGTTGGTGAAAATACTTCCACTAACGTGTGAGGTGGCTACACCGCACGCTTACTATACAACTTTTAATTAGGCAGGCAGTGTCTCCTCATTCTCTGGACGAATGATATTGGGAAGAATCTTGGCACGTTGACGATGGAACCGCTCCATTGATCTATATATTCTGGCATCGGGATTAGGTCTCAGCTCTCTGAATATTTACCGTTTGATTCAGACTTATGCGATTACGCATGGTTACAGTGATCTTTACAGTTGAACACGGAAAACAAAACATAACGGTCACACATTTGAACGGTGCTTAGGCATTTATAATGTCTACTGAAGAAGGGCGAACAAAACTATGAAATTCGCTTTGCAAAATGTACTCCATCTGCCTCGGTTGCTCCGGTTTATCCACTTGAGACACTGCCTATTTTGCTGTACTTATGTGAACTATAATCCATTATTTTGTAAGTGTGGTACAAAATATAACACTTTCAGTGAATAGCTTGAGGTGTCGTGTTGGTTTAGATCCGATTAAACTGTTAAAATTCTCCGAGAGAGTTTAGTCTAGATACAGGAATAAATAAATAGTTGGTCTTTGTTGCCCAGGATCACGGAATTTCACAGTTTCATTGCAAGTTGCTTTCAGTACCATACCTCATTCTTTTAAATGACTGCAGAAGGAATTAGCAGATGCCAATGACCGTGAATCATTCCAAAACCTTTCCTAATGATTCACCCTATTCATTATAATGGCCTTTTTACCGGTGAACAGTGACCTCAGGTTTTATGCACGAAACGAGATAGACAAAAGGGTTATGAACACTGATAATAGCTCATATAGTTGGGGGTCATGACTAACCTCCTTGTAAGAACCTCAGACTAATACTTCGCTTGATTTAAATCTTCTGCGCTCAGGAAAAGAGTGACAAATACAAACCCCTTAATCTCGTTCTCCTAGTACATCCGGTTACTAAGTGTTAGGACTGAGTGTTTCATTTAAGTTTAGATGATTTTCTCTATAAATTTACTGTATCTTTCCAACCCCAGCTCCTTTCCTGAAATCAAACACATATTGTGTTATCGAATGCAACCTTAAAAAGGAAATTCCTGTCAATGGAACCTGTCAAGTCTGCCCTCCTAGTGGATGTCCGGAACGTGAGTTTCTCTGTTTTGATCGCAGCAACGAGGAAGTCTGTTGGGATTGACCTAGAATGACGGCTGCCATGATTCCTTATGCTTCCTATCTTATGGATTTGCCTCGAAAGTGTCGGATTGTATAACACTTTGAAAGAAGTTTGTGTAGTTATACTTTCGGCATAATTTGTTTTGGATCTACGTAAAAGTGCTAAAAATACTTTACTCAGGTGAGCATTAGAACTGTAGTTTCATTGGTTTCAGCTACGAGAGAATGTTGCTCGACCTATGATCTCCAACTGACTAGCTAGCATTGTTATGAGTGTTGCGTAGCAACCAGCGTACGAATGACCGTCTATTCATATTTCGTCGTGGAATTTTTCATTAGGCTTCTCAAACCGTTTTCACGTAAGTAGTACGGTAGCTCCATTTCAAGTGATTCGGATGGATTCTATGCCGATGGTGATGTAAGGCCGAAAGGCGTTAGTGCCATCTTCAGTCATTTTTAGATTTAAAACAGTATATTTAGAAATACATGTCCGGCAAACTTGGTGCTTTAATCTGTACATCTTGAGACCTGTCAACAGAGAAAAGGTGCAGGGAAAACTTGATGGAAATATTACTACTGAAACGCGTTTGTCTGGTCCGTAAGTTTTGTATCTGTTCGGCATGCGATACTTTACGCCGTATTCAAGAAGCTCACACTCAGTCAGAAGAGTTTGGGCATGTTTGTTCTAATGAGAATAATGTGATCTTAAAGCGGCTATCCAAGACAGGTTCTTTGCATCTGGCATCTTCAATTCTAGTACATAGATTTGGTTACAGCAACTTGATCGGCGGATCACACAACTGATCAGCGACTCCTAGTCAAAATGTTAAGCATTCAGACTACTCGCCTGAATATCAAGGGTTCGAGACTCTCTAGAGCCTCTTGATTTGCGCCTTGCTGATGATTGTCAATAAGGAGAAAACAGTGCTTTTAGGTCACTCAGTGTAAACCAGCTACACTTACAGATCGAAAATTTAGCTGAAGATTTCCAACCCCTCTACAACATCAACAATTCCCTAGGTGTCCTGAAATCCACTTTTCCCGGCGAGTTAATACAGTCCGCATTATTTCCTATGTAGCTTTTCATTCTGTCACTGGAGACTTGGACTAGTTTTACTCTTGTTTTTTTTTGCAGCAGTGATCCGGAACAGCGTATTAACTTAGCCGGTATCTAATCAGGATAAGGNATTTATATATATATATCTATATATATATATATATATGCAGCTGGAGTTGTCGTCCTCTAAAAGCTTGCTAATTTAACTACTTGTTACATCCAAACAATACCTAGGTGTCAGTCCTCAAGGGATGTGCTTCATATGTATCAGTGGAACATATACAACTCCCAAATAGATCACACTGTCTTGACTAAACCAAGTGGTGCAAGGTTTTGTGATGGCTCCACTGAAGAGGTGAAAAGTACCTGAATGTTTGGTGCAGAAACTTCAATGGATCATGGAGAGTTTTTCACCTTGCCAGTATTTGGCAATGTGTTATTCGATCGGGTTTTAGAAGTATAGAAATCTTTTCCACTCATTCCACTTCTGGCTGGTGAAGATCAAACATAGGGTTATATAAAACAAAAGTGAACCAGTTAGAGTAAGGCGGGTATGGAAGGGCTGGGTAGATCGAAGATCAAAGCCAATGAACTTTGATGCCTATTCATAGTATCTTATCTTGTAGATGTGCAGTGTATGAACAGACTGCCAGTACTGACCTCATTGATTGCTGTTCATTCAATCAACTGCATATGTGGGGACACGTAGGTGGTTACTTGTCTAAGTGGACAAGTAAACATTGCCTAAAGTGACTTAGATGTAGAGGCAAGATGCAGAGTTTTGTTTTAGCCTACCTTGGTTTGAACTCAACCTGCCCAGACCTGTCTAGGTCTGGGCAACCAGGCAGCATCTCAGGCCTCGTGCTTCTTTGGGATGTTATGGCCGGTAGGCATCGAAAGTCGTTTCACTGTCACATGTATATCTGTGGCATGAAAGTATTTAAGTTCAAAGTTTTGGTAATTCAATACACTTTGGAAAAATGTTTATACTTTTGATCTATCACCAGAAGTTCCTCAAAGGATGTTTCTCAAAATCTAGGTTTCAGGTAACCTGTTAGCGAATACGGTACTGGCCGTCTGCTGTTTTGACAAAACTGAAAATATTCTTCTACACTTTAGATTGCACAGAGGAATCAATCTTTGGAAAGGACCGAAGCCTAGCTATATTGGATAGCGAGGCACTACGACGATTCAAATCATGCGTTTATTACACGGGAATGCTGTATGTCAGTGAGGAGTCATTCAAGGGGAAGTGAGTTGGCTACTATACATTTGACAATAGACCAGCTATTCGGTTCAGTTAATTCCGCTCCTTGCGCTTAGCACCTATTTTTCCTAATTTTCAATGGAATTAACCAATTACAGAAGATTTTGGGGACGAGCTCTATCAAATAACTCTTGAATTTCCACTGTCACGGCCCCATTTACAGACGAACTGGCAAGGTGGGGAGAGAGCAGGATTCTAAACTAGGAGAACACAAACGTTTTTTAGTTCTAAAATGAACTGCAGTCATAGCAACAGCGATGGATATCTGGGAACACGTATACATAGTAATAAACAAACGTGTGAAGATCGTTGGATAAAATGTACTATCAACTTGAGACTTCGAGGTACATGTGTGATACCATGAATTGAAAAGATTCACAGTCTGTCAGGTTACGTTTTTGGCGTAACGGACATTCTTTTGAACGGCAGTCGCTGTGAAACCCTTATAAGTGAGCCCACTGTACAATATAGTAAAATTAATGATTCAGGGTAGTGAAAAGTAACTCAGTCTGCTAGTCTACCCAGCGGACGTGGATGCATCAGTGATTGGGGGCGAGATGGCCCAAGTGGTTAGAGCGCGAATTCACTGACCGGAAGGTTCGTGGTTCGAATCCGACCTCCGTCACTCGACTTCCCTGTCTAGGCTTGGGCAACTTGGCAGTATCCCAGCCCTCGTGCTCCTTTCGGGTGTCATGACAGCTAGGCACCGGAAGGGTGCTACAGCTGAACGCTTTTTTTCTTCATCAGTAATTTCCGAGATTGATGAGAGAAGTTTTTTCATAGAGGTTTTCACAGACGATCATCGCGAGAGACCTGTAGAGTTTTGAAAGTTAATATGGAATCCTGCCCTCGGATTTTTTTTATACCGCAGAAATTGGATTACATTCTTTTTAGCTGTTTAGATACAGTCTATATTGTCATTATTAGAAATTTATCCGAATGTGACACATGTCCGGTTTCTGATTCTACTGAAAGAAGAAATGAGACCTTTAAATGAATAACCGAGAATGATAATATGATTTTTCTTAGAGGTTGCGGGTTCGAAATTGAATGACCTTCCAGGATTTCACTGCCCTTTTTGGTCTTTGTCAGCTGTTCATTTGGTTGGTATTGCTTAAGAGATGATGCTGTAGAAAACCCGACTGAACATACGTCGTTAACGTTTTGAATCTTCAATAAAGTGTGGTTCTAAACGGGCATCGCTTATGGTGCAGGTGACCAAAAATCTGTGGGTACCAATTCTAGTGGTTGCAGGGGAGCTTTGCACTTACCTGCTTCATTTCATTGCAATTCGACTATCTCTGACCTGATAACGAACCGGTGTCTTGGGTGTATCAGGTCACAGCTTCTCAAGTACGGCGGTCAGCGGCAACTGTCCAGTGAGTGTCCGGCTGGGCTGTGGATAACATGTAGACCGAGTCGTCTTAATAGTACAAATCCCGATTTCTAGCCGACCATCCTAAAAACAGCGTCTTTCATCCCACGGTTCAACATCAAATACAGCTATGACAATATATGCATGTGCACGGCGAACAACGAATCTACTTTGCCGGACCAACGCCTAAACAAGCCGGTATGAGTTGTCAAAAGCCATTCTGTATCTCATTATCTGTTTCAAACAAATACATAACAGACAAAACTGAGTTGAGTGCAGTAAGTCCAAACACCTGACTATCACAGGTGTCAAACTGTTTACTGTAGATGACACGGAGTGTAAAATCTACGTAGGGATAAAATTTGTTCTCCGGACATTCCATGCATCCACCTTCACTCGTAGAAGTAATTCTGGAACATGGTCGTGGTGCCTGTTTCACTAAAATAATCCGTAAGAGATGTGATTTCATTCCAGCTAATGGAATGGATAAATCCTTTCGATTTCACACCCTTAAAGTGGGGAGTAAATGGAGATAGATTGTATTTTCCTCTCATCACAATAGACTAGCCAGTACTTCAGTAGATGGCTGAATGCAGCGGCCGCCATATTCTTCGATGTCTGAGTGAAGATGTTAACCTGTTGAATAATGCTTTGGCATGATACGTGGAAAGTAACTGATAATCAATGAAATCTTAATTGGGCATGACTAATAGTTCTAGGTCACGTTCTAGATCACAGTTCTAGATCACTTATATTGTAATCGTGGTTCAGCGGTATGATTTCAATGAATAACGGAGAGAAAATATGATGAGTAGGCCACCATTGGTGGTGACTCATATTTCATATATAGATAGCGTAGCGTTATGTAGTAAGGAACCAGTTCTATATCAGTTCAAAATCTCCTGTAATTTCGATCGTTAATTCTTATCGCACGTTTGAGACTAACGAAGTTCTACAGTGAGTAATTCTTATGGCGAGAAAGAACAATCGGATAGCCGATCTAATTAGTTTACGCATGCTTCCGGGTTCCTCACGCTCGGCAGTGCGGAGTCTGTAACTGCGAACGTGGCGTACGCTACTTGAAATCACGTACCTCATGGATGTCACTGGCTGCTACAAGAAACAGGTGTGCTTGTCATAAAGATGAATATTCTATGTCGTCACGGCACAGAATCTGTATCCAGCCTCCTTACTGAAGTCTGTTCATATGATGTTTTATGCGAGGCGAACACTTAAGCATATGCGGTCATTCAGATTGTTGTCAAACTAACTAGGACTACGGTATCTGATCAATGATTCCGTAAGTCAAGTACGCAATTATTAGGATACAACGAACGCTTAGTTAACCGGTATTGAAAACCGGAGGAGCGCCCTGCTCCCCTGACCATAAGCGATGGTGTGGTTTTGAGTTTTTCGGACAAACGCTCATTCTCAGGAGTAAACATTTGTGATGTGCTGTACACAAGCATCAAGTTTTCGAAAGAATTAGTGAGAAGCAGCCCGTCTGTTTTTTGGCCGATGCTCTGGCAGATCCGTTGTAATCTGTGTGACAAGGAGGAACATGCTATAACACAGAAAATGCAAAAGATGGTCAGGGGTTAAAAGTTAAACAGGCCGCAGTAGTCAGACGTAGTTTATAGGTAGAAGCACGTTGTAGGTAGAACAGAATGGTAGCTACTTATACGCGCGCCTGGACACTCATCAGTATGGCTACTCAGGCTGCTGACTAATAGACCAGGATATCTGTAACGCACGCCTGACTGGTACTAGTTGTACAAGGACGCGGGGTACATTTTCAATAGTCAGCTTCCAGAAGAAGCTTAGTTTCCTTCAGTGGAAGTGGACTGTGCTATTAGTTGATTGAAATCGTACCCATTTGTCAAGCGAATAAGGTTTTGACGCTCGATTTGACCTGGTATAACCAGCATCCTTTTTTCGTCCCTCCAACACATGGGCGATTCAACTGTTTACATCTGCCATGTCGTACTAATCAGAATGGAATCACTTCTATAGTACTTGGTGAAGTCTAAAAATGGATTGCGGCTGTCTAGAAATCGCTACTGGCATGAAGAGTTTGATGAACTTGAAAAAGATAACAAACAGAAAAATGAGGTTTTCGCATTCAACGAATACCATGGATTTTGGAACAGTGCCTATGTCTTGACCAGCAGTCCATTTTTGCCGTTACTGTTCACAACGTAGTTCACAACAGTGTTGTCTGGTGAAGAAACCCCTCGAGCAAACTTTTTTGTTTTAACTCGTGGGGACTTTGAAATCCATCTGGACTAGTCCACTCTGTACATTCCACGTACGTCGACATTGAAAAATATGATTAGTCCGTTTAGACATGATTTGATCAACGGCAGCAATAATGTTCTTCACACTTATTACTTGAAACTTCAGTGTGCCTGACGGTCCCAAACTACTACCTCGTGGTTCGCGATGTGCATTTATCCAATTCAGCGCCGAGCCGCACGGTGCTAAGCATACTTTTTTGTTACCAGGTCTGTTACATTCAGGCTTTTAAAGCGATCTCGTGATGATGCACTGGACGTGCGGGAATTTCTATTTCTTAGAATAGGTCACACTGCTGAGTAAGGAACAACGTTTCCGCTTTAGCTCAACACAATATGAGAATCAGGTATCCTGTTTTGTGTACAACAGTTTTCAGAAGCATGTTCTATGGCGGTTAGACGCCATAAAAATGAAGTAGACGCCCCGAGCTCTTAGCAATCTTTTGATGAAACCCGAGTTCCACGCCTAAACCCTCACTGGGCTTCGGACTGTTAGCAGTCACCTTGCTTCATTTCTGTCTGCGTTTCAAGTTTTAACCTTACTTTTTGGTAAATATATCTGGACTTAATTGGCATTATTGTTCTCAATGGGTCTTCCGTTTTAACACATGCGTGCCTCGTCGACTGAATATGATGAATGCGCAAAAATATATCATTTTTCTTGTAGTCGCATTGTGAAGGACCCCATTAAGGACTTGAGCCTGCTCTGGAACCTTCGGAACTTACGAGGCATTGTAGGCACAGTTTATCTTGATCTACGTGGGGCACCGCTGGAACTGACCAACTTGACTTTCTTGGAGAATGTGGAATCAATCACGATGGAGGGTAAGCAGTAATCTGGTACACTTGCGGAATTCTCGCATTAGCGTGTACTTTTTTTGGTAAAACATTCCTAAACTTAACAAGGTTGCGTTAATCAGGGTGCAGTACTATACTGTACTAGTGTCAAAATCACACATGCTGTCTCTGCATGACTAAAGACCGAACGTGCACCCTCAGATCTACATAGGAATTATCGACCTGAACACGGCATTCAGCAATTTTATGCAAAATTTGCAGGAAAGCTGATTACTTTTATCTGACATGTGACTCCTATGTCAGACAGTTCTCCACTTCACTCTTCGGATTTTAAACCATGAACCCACACCAAACTAACGGTTTCATCATTTCGTCCACGTATGCTCAACCAAAATTAACAGTTAGCCATAACGAAAACAGTGACCATGGTTTGTCGCAACCAGTTCCATCGTACTCAAATAAAGCATCATGTGTTTCGAATGACAAATCATTTGACTTTCATGCTGATGAAAGTTGGGCGTTCATGGTTTAATCGTCATGGGATTGTGTATTACACTTCCTAATAAAACCCCAAATGTTTTCACTATAATGATACTGCGTTTTCCAGTTTTTTTTCGCAAACGGAAGGAGTAACCATTGACTGGCCTGGTTTTCTTCGCATTGACGTGCTTTGCGTCATGCAATAGGGGAATATGTCGTGTGGTGTGAGTGATCAGCGTGGCAACATCAACTCTGTGGACACCCTACGGCATGCAACTAACGGTGGATGGTAGTGTGGTTTGTGGATCTTAGCAGTTGGAGATAAAACTAGAGGCTAGTGGTGGTCAGATTAAGAGACGACGAAGACTTGATGAATATTGCAGTGTGTTTTCTGCCAAGAGGTACGGCGTTGCAGTTCTGCACGAGCTAAAATTAAGGGCATCTCTCAGTAGGAATTCATTCTCAGAATTTGGCCGTCTATACTATGGTTTTATCCCGTACCAACAAAAGCGAAACCGAGGCATCGATTTATCTGAAGTACGCATTTTTAATGTGACAGTTTTATCAAAATTTAAGTGGCAACTTGGACATTCTTGACCGAGTGGACGTTCACGGTAACCATTGGCTTTCTTCAGTACTGGACTGGAGAGTTGTCAAGATTATCCTATGGTACCTCGTCACATAGTAGGACGTGCTATATACTGTTGATATAGCCTGCTGTTGAGCACTAGAGATAAACTGTGATGAGAGTGCGACCAGAATATTGGGTTTGTCTGGAGAATACTTAGCACATTAGGACTACCTAAACAGGTGACATTAAATCCAGCGATCGACACCATAAATATCGATATGAAATGACAAACCAGAATACAGTGTACATGGTGGCTGGCTTGTTCGTTGCGCTTGATAGTTTGTTGTGAGCGTCTTGTTTTCAGTTCAGGTAACATCATAACTGCGCGACTGGCTAGCGAGGCATCGTGGTGTATGTCTTGATCATTTATACGCCCGCACTGACATACTTTATATGGACCAAAAGGTTGCTTACGAGCACGATCGATTGTTTTGGATCGTGGTTTTTTATTGGTGGCTTTTGGGCCGAGTTCTGGTTGCCTGGTATCCTGATGACCTCTAAGTTACACCTCTGCAACCTGCATCCGATAAACTTCGCCCTGCCATTTCGCTTATGAGGCTATCCCGCGATTAAGTTACCTGATGATCGGTTCTGTTTAAGCTCACCGGCTGTGGTATACCCAGATTCGGCCTAGTTCAATGTGGTTAGTTGAGTTCGTAGCTGATAGCCATTGATTTTAGGAATTTCTTCCTCCATTGTGTAACTCCGTTTGCCTGGATCTTCATTGTATTCAAAATGATTCCGTGGCGATTTTGGTCTACATGAGCCGCGACCAAAGATGGTGCATCGCACCCTTTTATGTCCGCTTTTTGTTCATCCACATGTTCTCTTACGGTTAGTCGAAACCAGTACTTCTTCCCTCTGCTGCATTTTGTGCGGTCGACGAGATTGTTTTGCCTGCCTCCCTCAACCTTGTCCCTTGGTCCGGAAATCAGTGCGACGTAGCACTCGGTATTCGGGTTAATAATATTCAATGTTGTTGTGATGGTTATGCTGTCGTTTTAGCTACACCAAGTCCATCAGTAACGAGACGTTTCTGACAAAATGTACAGGTTTACTGAACAGGTAAACCAGTAAAGCTCGGTTGCTTTTACACGAAAAAGAAACCGATGATTTCGGCGTTTCTCACTTTAGTTACTGAGGATTGATAGGAGAACGACTGGTAGAGGATCGCCTTTAATCTATTCTCGGGACCACGATAGTTACAGCTGCCATCAGTAGAGGGAGATACGGGTATGCAGTTCTCCGTACAACGTGTGCTCCTTGTCTTTACGAAGCTTGCACCCTCCGAACCGCGTGCTGGGGATGTCCCCGTAATTAGTGGCGGAACGTCTACAAGCAAATTGCCAAACCCCGCAAACAGATCAAAAGCCCTCTGATCGACAACCAATTAGCCTTTTCCGTACAAGGTACACAAAAACTTTAAGAGGAATTTCTAACAAAAATGGGTATAATTTGTATCAAGAACACCTGGTTAACCTTCCTGTTTCTGCTTCCCAGTTGTGTCCTGCAAACATTCCGCTGAAATCCATCTTGCGCACATCAGTTTCTTTTATCCCGCGTAGTTATATTAGAAGCTACGACATATGAAATGAATTAAGTATACTTAACTTCACCATGAACGATTTTCTTCCTGCAACTTTTATTCTGCTCAGTTCGTGGATCGAGTTCTGGGCCAGTTTTGCAAATAATGGATGGCCCCAATGTGGAACTACTTGGATTTAGATCGTTAACTCTGATGGACGGATCTATATACCTTCGCAATATGCCGAAGTTGTGTTTCGTTGACGTCTTGAAAAGACTATCACAATTTCGTGCGGAGAATTTGTCTTCCGAGGAACAATGCAGTAAGTTGTTTGTGACAAGGATTGCCTTCTCCATTGGAATTTATGTGCCGTTCATGTTACCCACCATGTCGTGTTCGGAATAACCCTCAAGACTAAACTATTGTCAGTACCAGTGAAAGAACAATTTCAGGTTCGTGTCCTGACACAATTTCATTTCAGACATTTCAACTGGGAAGGATGAAAATATATTTATATAGAAGAGACAAAATTGAACGAACTTTCTTACCAGAGATTAGATCCACTTGATTTATCCAATCGTAATGTGTTCAGTCCGGTATCATGGTTTCGGAATTGCTGAAAGTAAGAGGCGACAAAGTGGTTTTGAATACGGCAGGTTCTGACAGGTTGTGGTCAGAATTAGGATGGTCTATCGTTTGGAAACTCTGCGCACTTTCTCCGGGGAATCTTAGCTTACAGGTACTTTTTTAGACCAAGCACTTTCTACATGTCACGTGAACGCTGCAATGATAGCCCCATGTAAAGTTGTCTCATGGTGAAATTCTTGAGTGGAACATAGGTTTCAAGTTAGTTGAACTGATTGTTGACTTTAGCACACGTGACTAGACGCGGTGTCACACTGAATGGGGTACGCCCGTCGATCACGCCTTCTTGTCTAATGAGCTAAGTTAGTGACTTTACCGCCAGTTAATAGTAAGACAATTGGATGTAACGACATTCTTATTTGCAGGAAAACGCTAAATATATGCATGCTCTCATGCAACTAAAAGATTCTGGAGATTCAACCAGAATTTTCCCCTCCCAATGGGGTTGATCTCTTGTGGAAACCGTAGATTAGCTGTCCATCCGTGATGAGGACAATCAGTAAAAGCTTTGAGTCCGGAAATGCCTGGCTGATACTCACACTATCCTACTCGACCAGGATTGGCTAATCAGAGTTTAGCACAATACAACACGGCGTGAACTGCAGAACTCAAAAACGGTGACGCTACATTTTTTAGCTTCATGTTATTCACACCGTTGGTCAATCACGTCCGATATAACCGTGCAGTGCTGACTTACTATTCTGTAGGTCCCGTGTTCTAATCTTCCAAGAGTTTCAAAAGATGCTCATTGTCAGTGGATAACCAGCCCAGATGGACCCCTATGAAAACTGAAGTCTGGTGGTCGTTGGTTTGTTCGCTGAGCTAGGCAATTCAACTGCAAACGTTTCATCACCAATCGGAATGACATCATCAGTGCTTTGTTGGAGCCATGGTCGAGCGTAGCGATGTGTTGGTGGTTGTGCGTTGAGTAGTTTTGTGTGTGTGTGTGTGTTAACGTTTGTTCTACTAGCCGGTTGGTTGTCTGATCGGTCGGTCCGTTCCATTCGTTGTTCTGTTATCCTGTGTCCTGATTGATCCATGACCACGTGAATTGTGAGCTTGCCCCCCTGCCATCGTGCTCTTATCGATGCTGGAGTGACCTCCATCATTGACCGGCTTGTGACCTTTGTTCATTCAACTCCAAGCAGTTCCTTGATTTTTGATTTGTGAATCCGATAATTGGCTCTCCTTGAGTATTCTTGTGAGGGATTTGGTCCTTTGCACGTAGTGTTGCGTAAAGTGGGGCCTCTAGAAATTATCTTCCATGCCTCCTGTTCCCATATGCAAAGATTTTCACGTTTTCCATAGTGAATTGATATTCATACAATTCGCTTCGTCTAAAGCATGGAATACGGTGCTCGGGGGGTTGGATGTCAACACGTTCTCATTAAAATTCCTGGTAAGTAGTCACATCAGATCAGCTAATTTGTGTTCGGATGGTGGGCATACGCACTCTTCATCATGCCGACTGAGGTCGTAAAACTGACACGATTCATTTGATCGCCAGCTAGCTGTTTCCGAGTTTAATAATTCTCATGTGAATGCAATGCCGAACGTAACTTCTTCACGCTAACTGTCTTCATGAGGCAAAATTCCTCAGATCGACCACATTTTAGGGGAATTTCATCATCAACATCATCGATGTGATCATCACCAGGGGTATTCACGTCAGTATTGAGACTGATGCTTCACTGCAGTACAACCACAAGGTTTGTTTCATCATATTTAAAGCCTTAGGATAAAAAGAAGATGAAAGAGTGGGTGGGGAAGTGGACCTAGCGCTGGCCTATCGCAAGCATTCTGAGGTGCCTACACCTCTAAGCGTTCAGTCGAACAATATGGAATTAAACTGACAATACGAATGCCACCGACACCGATCAGCTGTCATTTATCACAGTGTCTCCAGTCAAGCGTATGAAGGGTCACGTACAACACCAACAGCCCCAAAATACTTCGTGGTATCTTTTACATTCTTCTATTAGTTCGTACGTTGATCACCTAGAGGTTTACTCTATTCTGAGGGAGGCACGGAAACACAACAATCGTCCCAATAGACAGTGTCACCGCATGCCTAGCGAATAACCGAACCATTGCAGCCGAAGGTGCGGCTGAAGTGTCCCTTGCACAACCAGATTCCCGTCTTACAATTACCTCCTTACGAATCCGTTGATGCTATACGACAGCAGCAATGCTTCTGAGGCATGCGTGGTCAACAATCCCAAGGTGCCTCATACCTTTTGTCCGCAGAGGTAATGTTTTGCAACCACACAACAATATAGCCGTTACTGTTGCCTAGTACACGCGACTCTTGACATCCACTGGTGTCTTGTTGACGCCACCACTGACACAAATTAGCAAACGTGAATCAAACCATGGAGAGTCGTGCACTGAGTTTGGACACACTTCCGTCAGAGCCAATACAACTACGAATGTGTGTAAAATTCTCCAGAACTTCCAGTGATTCTCCTTGAGTTGAAAGTGGTTCGTTTAGAGACTGCAGTCCTTAACCATGAGGTTACGCTTTGAAGATGCAAGACACATCCGAAAAGATGGTATGATGGTGGTCATCTTTTTCAGCAGACCTTGTGATTAGTCTTGAGCTTCAAAGATGTGGACTATATCGTCTGCGTACCCCAGATCGACAAGTTTCCCAGCACTACAGATTTGAAAACTGGGGGGTTTGAAGACCTTGCAGCTTTGGCCTTATAATTTCATCGATGACAAAGTTGAGCAAGAACGAACAGAGTGAACATCCTTGTCGGACACAACATTTTGTGGAAAAGGTCTTAGATAACTCACTTCACACTTACATATCCAGAATTATGTGAATATAGGAACCTGACTGTATTCACAAACTTCTGGGCACACCCTGTTGAGCAAGTGTTGTTGACAGCACTGACCGATGGACGGAGTCGAACGCACCATTAAACTCGAGGAAAACCAATTTCGTAGGTTGTCTGTCTATATGGCATTGCTCTAACACCTGAAGAAAGAAAAACTACGTCATTTCCCCGTTTATGGTGTGAAAAATAGCAGTACCAGTCGCGTCGAAGTGAAACACTTAGAAGTGCATTTAAATCAATTCTTTCGACAATATGCCGCCTGAGATAGGACTTGGAACCACTGGGATGAAAAATTAAAATGCTTAGTTATGGGATTCGCAGTCAGAAATCTTGCAGGATGTTATACTTTTGTTTGCACCGCAAAAGTTCACTGTATTTTATCCTCCAATGAATTAATGCTTGCAAGGCAAGAAACACTTTGCAGCCATTGTCCTTTGTCGGCAAACGTCCGCATTGTGGATCTCACAAAAATAATTAAAATAAACAAATGAATAAATAATAGATAATGGTAACGAATAATGAATAAACAAAAGTAATCAAATAACAAATAACATATAATAAATAATAAATAACGAATAAAAAATAAAACCTTACGATGATTCGGTACCCATAATTCCTGGTTCACGCGGTAACAGGTGACAGTCGTCTTCCTGCTTATGTGACGCGTGAGCGACGTGTCCTCTTCTCCTGTGGGTATAGGTGGGACACTGTTTGCACACTTAGAACCTATCTCCTCGGAATGGAACGCATCTGTATCGCTCCCGGTGGTCTCCTGAAAGGTGGCATTTCCATCCGGATTAGGAAGGCCAGAGCAAGTTTCGTGAACCTGTGTCACCTCTGGTGTAGGCGTGCCATCAGCTTATTCGTCAAGGGTCGAGTTTACAATGCTGTGGTTCCATCCATTTTGTTATACGGGTCAGAAACGTGATGTCAGAGACATGATGGAAAGTTCATTTCAATGCATTTCATCTCAGAAGATGAGCCTTGGAAAATAATGCTGATTTCCAATGTATTCATCTTCATAATTCAGGCTGTTCACGACTTTCTCCCGTTCACTTTCATATCCTGAAATCTCTTCTCCTCCATTCTTCAAAATAAGCAAGATAACCTGAGTCTTTGCCAATGATGTCCGAAATCAAACAAGTCTCACTTTACTCATCCTTCCGTATAATTTTACTAAGCGATTCGCCTTTACATCGTTTGGCCTACTTATGCCTTTAGACGTCAAATTTTCATGCCGCCCACTAATCAGAGTTTCTGTTAATGCATGTTGGGGTGATTTTTTAAAACCAATATGCATTAGCAGCGTTACAGACCTATCACAGTTGGCTTAAATGCGCAGCTGCAAAGCGGATATTGTTTTTTCCAGAAGTGAGACGTTGCTCACAAGGTTGCTGAAAACTCTTCGGTGAAGCAATAATAAATAATAATAATAATCGTTCAGCTGTAGCACCCTTTCGGTGTTTAGCTGCCATGCTACATGAAGGAGGCACGAGGGCTGGGACATTGCCAGGTTGCCCGAGTCTAGGCAGGGGAAGTTGAGAGGCAGAGGTTGGGTTCGAACCACGGACCTTCCGGTCAGTAAATTCGCGCTCTAACCACTGAGCCATCTCGGTGAAGCGCATTCAGTTGGAGTGGATTCTTATAAACGAGGGTTTCAACCGGACTTAGTCGAGTCTCCTGTGAAAACAAAATTCTTGAACAAACGACAGTACTTTTCGAGACATATGATTCGATTTTCACTTTTAAATATGCATATGCTTTCACGTTTCCCTTACGCAGAACAACGTTATAGGTTCACTGATACAATAGTTTCGACTAGATCTTATCCCGC